AATGGAGATTGAGATAAAAGAGGGCATAACAACGAAACAGCACAGATCAAAACATAACCATTTAAGCAGAATAGCGTTTCACCACCAGATAATCCTGACCTAAAAGTAGTTACCATATTGTCTCTTTCCTTGAAATCCTTGAGTACAACTTCATATACTGTAGCATTAAGTATATCAAAACAATGTAAAACCATTTAAGAGAATGACAGCATTACAGAGTATTTAGAACCGACTAACAGAAAATGAATAATGGTTTCTGGATAATCTCCTTGTCTTTAAAAGGTTTTTGCTTATACTATCGTACATAATAAAATCCAGTAAGATACAACCTATTTAGACCATTGGAGACAGAAGGACAAAAGCTAGATGAGACTTCAAAACAAGATGATACTAAATCAGTATTACCTATTAAGATGTCATTTTCTCCAAAATAGCTGTTCCTATCATCCAATCTTTTCTGCCTCATTTCTGTTGAGCTCTTATTCTGTCAGTAGCTGTCAGTTTGTCTTCTTCACTTTGTTCTCTGCTCCATTAGTTGTGGCCTCCACTATTTCTGGATTCTTTGTATTTTTCTTTTTTTAGAATATCCTGCAATACTCTCTGTAGAGTTGAATTGGTGGTTGCAAATTCCCCCAGTTCCTCTTTATCCTGGAAGTACCTTGTTTTTCCATCAATTTCCAGGGACAGTTGTGCAGGATATCTCAATCTTGGCTGGAGATTATTATCTTTCAAAGCTTGAATTATTTCCCCCCATGCTCTTCGTGATTTGATGGTTTGTGCAGAGAAATCTGCTGTAATTCTGATGGGTGCTCCCTTGTAAGTGGTCTGTTTCTTGTCTCTGACAGCTTTTAATATTCTGTTCTTGTATTGAATTTCTGGAATTTTTATTATTATATGCCTGGGTGTTGCTCTGTTTGGGTTGTAGGTAGCGGGGGTCCTGTATGCCTCATACATCTGAGTATCTTTACCTTTTGCTAAATTAGGAAAATTCTCCTGGATTATTTCTGTGAGTAGCTTTTGTAGTTCATTTGTTTGTGTCCCTACTTCTTCTTTTATGTTCTTAATCCTTAAGTTATGGATCCTCTTATCATCTTCTTGTCTTTGTATTATTGCTGTTTGTTTCTTTGTTATTTTTAAGAAGTTTTTCATTTCATTCTCCCATATTACAATTCTGCCCTCCAGTTCAGATAGTCTGTCCTTAGTTTCTTTCAAGCTGTTATGCCAGTCTTCGATAGACTTCTTAGTTTCTTGGTAGTCCCTTTGAACCTGCTTCACGTATTCTATGCTTTCCCTGTTTTCTCCATCAAACAATTCTCCCCTCTTTTTCTGTTCTTCCATTCCACCATCTGTTTTTTCTTGGGTGGGGCTTAGCATTTCTCTAACTATTTTGCATACTTCTAGCTTCAGGTCATTGATAACTTCATTCCTGAATTGGTCTATGAGGCTCTCTATATGGTGCTTTATGTGTATTGGTGCGGTGTCCGCTATTGCCTGTTTCTCAGAATTGGGGGCCGAGGAGCCTTTCTTGTTGCTGCCTCTTCCCATATTCTCTGTTCCTTATATATGCAAGCTTATATGAGAGGCCCAGCTTCTCTCCCTGTCAGCCACAGCCTGATCGAATTGCGCCGGTTAGGTGTTCCCACTCACTGCTGCGCACCAGGCAGCCTACGCGGGGGCCCGCCCCTCCTGGACTCCTCCGTCAGGCTCTGGGATCTGGGTTGGGCCAGCCTACGGGGTCCGCCGGCAGCGTCACGCAGGCCAGGCACTTTTCACCAATCCCGCCCGAGAGGGGAATGTGTGGCTGGAGTCGCCACTGCGCCCTGCTCCCGCAGGACTGCTCGGGCCCAGAAAGTCTGCTGGAGTCAAACTGTGGGGGAGTGTCAGTTTCTCTCACTCACCTCGCCACAAGTCAGAACATGCCTCCCTGCCCGTCCTGTTTTCGACTCCGTTCGCAGACTCCCGTTCTCAGAGCTTCCGCGCGTCTCTCTCCTTGCCGAGCCGATGTAGAGGCAGCCAGCCGCCAGGCGGCGGGAAACCCAAATCGTGGCTTCCAATGGCGCAGGGTCCAGCCTCAGCAGCGAGACTTTTCTGTTCCTGTTTTAGCACCAGGACTGCATTCCAAGTTGGTTTCTCTCAGCCGAGTTCGTTCCTGAGTCAGCAGAGCATAACTCCACCTGCTTATGTCTCTTTAGTCCGCACCATACCTGGCTTCTCAGCCTAGTTTTTCAGAGAGCCTCCGGTAGTTGCTGTTATCTGTCCGCCATGTTCTCCCGGAAGTCTCATCATACTTTTCAATCACACTGTATTATTTTTTATAATGAATTGTTTGATGTCTTTCTTTCCCAATAACTAGAGAGGTCTACAAAAGTGGGGTGTTTTTGCTGCTGTTTTTTGTTTTGCTTTGTTTTTGCACCACTGTAGTCCCAGAACTTAGAGTAGCATTTCTAGGGTAGTAATTGTCTATAATACATTTGTTTATTGTTTCAGTGCTCCCAGAAACTTTCATGGTACTTAAACTTGATCACTACCAATATTCAGATGCATGTGCTTTTTAAGAATTCTGGCCTAAACCAGGCATGGTGATGCACTCTTATAATCCTAGCACTCCAGAGGCTGAGGCAGGAGGATCCTTGCAAGTTTGAAACCAGCCTGGACTACACAGTGATCTCAAAGCCAGATTGAACTGCATAGCAAGACACTGCCTCAAAAAGACAAAACAAAACAAAACAAAAGACCAAAAGAAGTTTTAACAAGATTTAATAACCATTTTTTGCTCTTTTTTTTTTTTAACTTTTTATCGGTACTAGGGATCGAACTCACGACCGCCTGCTTGCAAGGCAGGTGCTTATGCCGCTGAGCTAAATCCCTAGCCCCTTTAATAACCATTTTTAAGGACACTGAGTAACCATAGAATTGTGATCATGTCTCAAAAAGACCAAAAAAAAAAGAAGTCTGGCCTAATCTGAAATGAATACAAATACACACTTCTCAGATGAAGAAGCACAAACAGCAAATAAATATATTAAAAATATGTTCAAGATCACTGATCATCTGAGAGTTGCAAATTAAAACAACAGTGAGGGCCAGTACCTGAATGGAAAGTACAAGGTCCTAAGATCAATTCCTGGTATCATAAAAACAAAAAAAAAAACCCTTTGAGATTCTATCTCACCACAGAAAGAATGGCTATTAACAAGGAGTCAACCAACAACAAATGCTGGAGGAGCCACAGCGGAAAGGAACCCTACTCCACTGATGATGGGGGTGCAGACTGTTACAACCACTATGGAAATCAGTGTGGAGATTCCTGAAAGAAATAGGAACACAGGCTCCATTTGACCCAGCTATTCCCTTTTTGGGTAACTTCCCAGAAGAATCACAATCACCATACCACAGCAATACATCAATGTTTACAGCAGCATGGATTTTAATAGCCAAGTCTTGGAAACAATCCAAATACTCATCAACCAATAAATGGATAAAAAGATTTTTTTATGTAATAAAGTACTACTGAGCCATGAAGAAGCATAAACTTGAGACATTATATGGAAATGGATGTATCCTGAGACCATACTCTTAGGTTAAATCAGACATACATGTAGGAATACAGAATTATTTCTCTGGTGTGAGAAGCCAAAAGTGTAAATAAGGAACAAAATCTATAACAGGTATTATGAAATAGAAAGAACATGTTCTGATTGGGAGGGGAACAAGGGAGGAGGGAGAGGGAAAGAAGGAAAAACAGAAAAGAGACAAGAAGGAAAAATAAAATAAAGCTTTAATAAACGGGGAGTGTGGAGGGATTGAAGGGAGGGTAGGAGAACAGGAAAAAAGAAGTGTACAAGTACATCATGTACAAGTACAAATTCTCTATGATGAATACAATCATTATGAACATCTAAAATGTACCAATAAAATCTGATTGAAAACAATAGCTGCATAAAGGTAAAAAATTCTAGTCTAAGTCACCAATTAGTTTATTGTATTTTATTTTAGGTTTTGGGGGATTTTTTTTTTTTTTGTGTTGTTGTTGTCGTTGTTGTTTTGAGACAGTCTCACTATGTACTTTATGTTGGTCTTGAACTTGCAGCGATCTCCCTGCCTCAGCCTCCCAAGTGCAGGCATTACACCACCTGTGCCACCATGCCCCGGTTCAGTCACCAGTTATTTTAATGAAACCGAATGATCAGACACTTTAAATATTTATAAGAATGTGTGCTTCTTAGCAAAAAAAAAACAACAACAAAAAAATGCCACGAGCAAATTGTAAAAGCTGGATGACTTATTTAAGACTTCTATATTCTTCAATTAGGAGCCCTAGATCTAGTATCAGTTCTGCAGTTATAATAATCTGCTCTGTGGCTTTTCAGAAGTTTCTTGTCCTTTCCCTACCTGATTCCTCCTCTGTTGCACTAACATTCATTAACTCTAAACATAATTGTCTACCGCGTACTGAACTTCAGCACTAGCCAAATGGTGCATAACAATAAATGCTCATTGTGCGCTTTAACTTTTGCTAAAGGAGTCGTGTGCACTATCACTATGACAAACTTTACGAGAGGCACTCCTTTGTTGTCTTGTACCTTTACAACGGGCAGAAGTGAGACATAGCAAGGTTCAGTAAATATCCCAGGACATCAAAGCAAGCGGCGACAGCAGGATCAGATTCCAGGCAGCATGGCTTCAAATCCCATTCCTGTAACCACAGGGAATCCTTGTTCTCGGAATCCGTAACTATTTCGGTGGCACTTTGCCACCTGTCCGAGAGTACTGGGGAAGCACCCTCTTGTCAACCAATCGGTACACAGTCGCAGTGGTACACTAGAGAAACCCTTAGGAGACCGGTAGGAATCGCAGTTTCCCCCACTGGGAAAGCGAAGGAACCAGCCGGGGAAGCGCTTCACAAACACGCACGCCTGCCTCCGCGCGCCACTGGCTGGAGGCGACGTGCGGGCGCGTCAGCGGGCGCGCGGCTCGGAGCTCGCGCGGGGCGGGGAAAAGGGCACGTCCTGCGCGCGCGGTCGCCTCCACGTCGGAGCGGGCGGGGGATTCCTCTGCCGGACCTGAGACTCCTTTGCCCCGCCCGCTTCGCGTCAGCTTCCTGGATCTTTCCACCTTTAGTGAGATCAACGAGAGGATACCGCCTGCATCTAGAGCAGCCCACGCAGGAGCGGAGTGGGGCTGTGCGCGAACGTGGAAGCAAAGCTGTGGGCTAGCTGCGGCTTCCTGCCCGGGACATTCTAAACGCTGGTGAGTGTCTGGACCGCTGTCTCCATCCCAGTCGCCCCGCAGCCGCTGGACCACCGCGCGCACCCAGAGGAGGCTCACAGGCTCCGCTCGTGACGCCGCCACCGACGCCCTCAGTGGGGTCTCGAGGTGATTGTTGAATGTCCTCCCTCTCCCTCCCCTCCACTTCACCCTCCTCCCTTTGCCAGAATCCAACCACCCACCTTCTAAAGAGATTGACCCTAAAAACCACTTGGGTACTTTATGCCTTGTTTCCGTGTGCATTTTTTCTCTTCCGTATAGTGTTGAGGTGTCTTGTGCTGTGTGTACACAAAATATCCCATAATGTGCAGCACCACTGTTTCGTGTTTTTGTCTCCTCTGGTGGGAAAAAAATCTTAGAATAATTGGTGTAAATGATTTTATGCGAAATTTGTAGACTTTTTCAGGGTTCCCCGCTGTGCTTACCCAGCACTCTATCACTGAGCTGCATTTGCAGCCCTGACTTCTTGAATTCTCATCAAAACTTACGCAGTCAAGTGAAGAGATATGTGGGTTATATATTGGCTTAGAGATGAATATTGTGCAATGTGATACCCCAGAACCTTGTGTAAGTTAATTTTGGACAGCACCTGACAATTCTGTTATTAAAGGGGGCTTGTTTTGTATCTCTTCCCTTTTCCTCTTAGGACTGTAGAAAACAAACATCCTGCCTCTTTCCCGATCTCCAACTCAGGAATTACATCTGCCAGTTTGTTCTGCACCTTGTACTGGTAAAAATCAAAGTCCATTTCCTCTTCTTGTAGCCATATGGTGTTGTGGTGTAAAATGAAAACTGGTCAATAGATCTCACATTTTTATTTATAGAAAATGAGGTTATTGAGCAACTCATTTACTAAACTTTCAGTATAGTAGAAGCACTGTGTAGATTATTATTCTGTAGTGGAAAAACTATTAAACTCCTCTAGTTTCTGATCCACTTCTATCACTGACTAGCTTTGTGTGTGTCTTTAAGTCAGTTCCTTAACCTCTGTGGCAAAATGAGAGAAAGTACATTAGTTCCTAAGGCCACTTTAAACTTTAACAAAGAAAAGATTTAGCTCAGTAGAACATTTTTTTTGGTGTGGAGATGGAGAGATAGGAAAATTTCAGCCTTTCCTACAAAATGGTGTAGCATACAGTTGGTGAATAGTTGCATTTTTTTGGAGGGGGCAGAGTACCAGGAATCAAACTAAGGACCTTGCGCTTGCCAGACAGACACTGGGCCACTGAGTAATACCCCAAGCTCTGAACAGTTGTATTTAATGTAAGCTTTTCTTTTAAATTTTAATTGAAATAAAAGTGTAGACTTGGCCAGATGTGGTGGTGCACATCTGTAATCCCAGCATGGGAGCCTGAAGCAAGAGGATTGCTGTGAATTCGAGGCCAGCCTGGGCTACAAAGTGAGTTCAAGGCTACCGAGAACTTGCCTCAAAAAAAATAATGTACGCATCTCTCTTTTCCTTCCTCAAAGAAAATGTCATTTGAGGAAATAAAAATGCTAATTAGTGGTCCTCAAATATGCCTGTATCAACTCATTTTTCATCTTTTATTATGGTCTTTGCATCAGTAGTTTGGATGCTATATTAGAAACTACTTAATCTTAGGAACAGAAGTATAAACATTAACATGTATAATATTAATTTCAAGAAACCTGATTTAGATGTACTTAAAACACATAAATACATTAGTAATCAGTTAAATAAAGCAATAGTTTGAAAAGAGATGTCAATGCAAATACCATTAGCAATTTTCCAGTATAGGTGGTTTTAATCTGTTCAATTTAAAGGCTTGTTATCAAAATGCATTTGTTGCTAGGCATGGTGGCTCACACCTATAATTCCAACACTCTGGAGGCTGAGGCAGGAGGAGCACTGCAAGAGGCCAGCCTGAACTGTATAGCAAAACCCTGACTCAAAAAATAAAAATTAATTAAAGTACATTTGTCTTTAGAGGTATTTTTAAAAGGTAGTGCAAACTTGTGATACAAAACATTTTAAAGAGAATGATGGAAGACAACCTCTAACATTAGTTTCAAAGGCTAAGCGCTTTGATTTAGTACTTGAGTAGTTAAATCCTCATAAATGAAATGCAAAAAGAGCCTCCTCACAGCACATTTTACTACATAGGAGCTTCTGCAATGTTGCAGTTCATACTGGACAGTATGTATTGGAAGACAGAGATTCTTGGCCAGGCTTGGTGGCATGTACCTGTAATCCCAGCACTTGGGAGGCTGAGGCAGAAAGGTTGCCACAGGTTTGAGGCCAACCTGAACTACATAATGAGACCCTGTCTCCTGTCTTCTGAGTGTTTGTACTATGTGCATCTAGATTTCAAGCTTAGAAACTTTTTAACATTTAAGAGAACCCAATATAAATCAAATTGCTATACTATTTTAAGAGTCTTTGTTTTCTTTATAGGAGAAATGCTTTCTGAAAGCAGTTCATTTTTGAAGGGTGTGATGCTTGGAAGCATTTTCTATGCTTTGATCGCTACACTAGGACACATTAAGATTGGTCATGGAAATAGAATGCACCACCATGAACATCATCATCTTCAAGCTCCTAATAAAGAAGACATCTTGAAAATTTCAGAGGATGAACGCATGGAGCTTAGCAGGAGCTTTCGTGTATACTGCATCATCCTTGTGAAACCCAAAGATGTGAGTCTTTGGGCTGCAGTGAAGGACACTTGGACCAAACATTGTGACAAAGCAGAGTTCTTCAGTTCTGAAGATGTTAAAGTATTTGAGTCAGTTAATATGGAAACAAATGACATGTGGCTAATGATGAGGAAAGCTTATAAATATGCCTTTGACAAGTATAATGACCAGTACAACTGGTTCTTCCTTGCACGCCCCACTACATTTGCTATTATTGAAAACCTAAAGTACTTTCTGTTAAAAAAGGATCCATCACAGCCTTTCTATATAGGCCACACTATAAAATCTGGAGACCTTGAATATGTGAGTGTGGAAGGAGGAATTGTGTTAAGTATAGAATCAATGAAAAGACTTAATGGCCTTCTGAACATCCCTGAAAAGTGTCCTGAGCAGGGAGGAATGATTTGGAAGATATCTGAAGATAAGCAGCTAGCTGTCTGCCTAAAATATGCTGGAGTGTTTGCAGAAAATGCAGAAGATGCTGAAGGAAAAGATGTATTTAATACCAAATCCGTGGGGCTTTTTATTAAAGAGGCAATGAGCAATCATCCCAACCAGGTAGTAGAAGGATGCTGTTCTGATATGGCTGTTACTTTTAATGGACTGACTCCTAATCAGATGCATGTGATGATGTACGGGGTATACCGTCTTAGGGCATTTGGACATACTTTCAATGACGCATTGATCTTCTTACCTCCAAATGGTTCGGACAATGACTGAGAAGTGGAAAAAGAGCATGTATTTCATCCCCATATAAAACGTGTTATAACTATTTATAGTAATAAATACATATCCAACACAGAGCTATATTTCTTTTCCTTTTCTAATTTGGTATAACTGGTGTTACAGTTTATTAGTAGGGTCCACAGATATAGCTCAGGGGTACTGCATCCGCTTGCCAAGCATGAGGTTGTGTGTTTGATGCCCCATACCTCCCCAAAGAAGTTTATTAGTGTATTTTATAAATGAGGTGGTATTGTTTCCTTTAAGACACACAAGAATGTGTTAGAAATACATGTTTTAAATATAATTTGTAAGGGCCAGGGATTTAGCTCAGAGGCATAAGTGCCTGCCTGACAAGTGCAAGACCATGAGTTTGATTCCCAGTACCAAAAAAACTAAATAAGTGTAATTTTTAAATAAAGCATATATTTATAAATATGTAATAAATTCTAAAGTATGCACATTAAAAACCTGTGTGGCATGCTTTTTTGTAGATTAATCAAAATTTTTAACATGTCTTATCAGCTTTTAATATACACAAATGAATCTCTAGCCATGAATTTTTTATCAAAGTACAATTTCAGCTCTGTGTTAATATAAATTTATGTTCTAAGCCTCCCTAAGTGCCAGTGAATTTGTTTTCTCAAAATACACAGCTGTGGGGTATGGTGGTGCATGCTTGTAATCCCAGCAGTCAGGAGGCTGAAGGAGGATCACTATAAATTTAAGACCCACCTGAACTACACAGAGATCCTCTTGTCTCAGAGAACAAAACTCTCCTGAGTTGTAGGATTATAAGCATGTCCAGCTTGAATCTTTTTTAATGGTTCATACTCTGAACCATGTTTTTGGTTTGAAAACTAACTTGCCATCCATATTGGATTGCCATACCATTTGCCTAATTCCAGGAGTTACCAGAATCTTTACCCAAGGGTGGATAAATTGCTTCTGCACTCAGGTGTGTAATGCTTGGAGTTGACTTGTCCTACAATCTGGCTAGCACATGCTGTATTGAGTCAGATGATGAGCTCCCTTAGGGTATGAGACCATGTCATTTTAGATATCAGTATTGTGTGTAACTGGCATCATGATGCTAATGGTCTCCTATAGCTTTAGCAAATCAGAAAAAAAATTTCCTCAGGTGGCCTTGGACTTGAAATTACTTATCATCAGGGTAGTGGGCAGATCCTTTAATTTCTCTGCTCTTTACTGGAACTTTAGTTAAAATGTTATTGTGAAGAATAAAATCCCTTTATCAAGCACCCTAGGTGGTCCCAGGTACAATTACGACAGGATTATGTTCAGTATGAATACAGTAATGATACACACTGCCCTCACAATATATTATTTTTCTATTGTGTCAACTTGCCCCAAATGCCTACATATTTTCTTTTTTTTTTTTTTTTGTCTTTTTTTCGGTACCAGGGATCGAACTCACGACTGCCTGCTTGCAAGGCAGGCGCTTATGCCACTGAGCTAAATCCCCAGCCCCCTGCCTATATATTTTCTTTAGTTATGTTAGTGTATCAAAGTTGTATCACTGTCAGAGAATACATTTCCTTATTTGCCAATAAGTGCTAAGGTAACATGGCCATTTAAATTGATGCTCTTAATTGTATTTTTATACATAAATGTTATAAAATGTCTCAAGTAACATGCTATTTGGAGGTATATCTAGTCAGATAAATAAAATCTGAATCAGTAGTAAAGAAAATATTACATGCTTGAGTAGTTATATGAAGAGCATATATTTACAGAAGTTAACTTTCTTTTGGCATGCAAAGAATTCAGTTAACAGCTAATCTCCATATATGCAGGTGGCTTAATGTAGAAAATAACACATTCAGTAGCCAAACACTAACTGTAATTCTACTGCAGTTGGGGAAATTTAGAATGAAAATCTAATGGAAGGAGATCATGGATGTGACTATAATTTACCTATGGCTAATGGCTACCACAGTGGACATTGGTTTAAGCAATCCAGAAGTGAGATAACACTTCTCTACTCCTGGCTGAGATGTAAATGAAAGCAATCTTGATTTTGTTCTCAAAGTTACATAAATCTTTTTTTCTGGTAGTCTTGAAAGCAGCAGCCCAAGACCATCTCCTTACATGAGTTCAGTTGCTGGAAATTCCTTCTCAAAATTAAAACATTAGGCTGGGGGCTGGGTTTTTAGCTCAGCGGCATAAACGCCTGCTTTGCAAGCAGGCAGTCGTGAGTTCGATCCCCGGTACCGATAAAAAGGAAAAAGTTAAAAAAAAAAAAAAAAAAAAACATTAGGCTGGGCATGGTGGTGCATGCCAGCATTAGATCTAGAGCAAAATAATGTATTCAATCGCTTGGCTTTTTTGTTTTGATGTAGTAAAACATTTCTTATGTATTAAAACTGATTTACAGGGGGCTGGGGATTTAGCTCAGTGGCATAAGCACCTGCCTTGCAAGCAGGCGGTCTTGAGTTCGATCCCCATATAATGCCCAGATTTTTCTATTATGCATTTAAACTCATCTATTGGGTTTTCTTAAAGCAGGGCACATCTACATTAAGGTTGCTAAAAAGCAGATTTAATGATGACATATCACTAATTTCCCCTTTGTTGAGAACATTGCTTCTTTTGTACAGACTAACTTGAGTACGTTAAATACATGCCTGAATAGTTATGTGAAGAGCACATATTTACAGAAGTTACCTTTCTTTTGGCATACAAAGAATCCAAAAATACTTCTCAAGCCTCCCCCAAAAGTTCTCTATACTTTAACTTAAACATAATCATGGGGCTGGGGATTTAGCTCAGTGGCATAAGCGCCTGCCTTGAAAGCAGGCAGTTGTGAGTTCGATCCCTGGTACTGATAAAAAAAAAAATCAATCACACTCAACAACCCCAACTCCATCAAAGATAAAATGCTATAGAACATTTAAAGAATGGAAAAATAAATTTGAGTTAAATTTTATTTAACTCAATTTATCTAAAATATTATTTTGATAGGCAGTCAACAGAAATTCGCAGTTTTATTATCTTTTTATTCCAAGATGTATTACAGTTACAGCATATCTCACTCAAACTAGTCACATTTCCAGTGCTCAGCAGCCCCGTAATGTACTAGGTAATGGTTCCCATATTGTGCATCACTGGACTAACAAACTGCATAAATGTGAAGATCTTCAAGGTTAAAGATGAATAAGAGAAAAGGATTTTGGAAAAATTGTGTTTATTTTTCTGGTTTTCTTGAATGCACTGGAAACAGAAATCTGACTTTTAGTATACCATTTTGCATGAGTTCAATCACTGGATCTTTCTTCTCAAAATAAATCATTGTATTTGGAGCAAAATCTCTCACCTTTTCCCCTTAAATTGTAACAGCTAAAAGTACTGTTATTAATTTCAGTATTTACTAATGTTAGCTGGGCATGGTGGCACACAGCTGTGTTCCAAATACTCAGGAGGCTGAGACAGGAGGATTGCGGCAAGTTCAAAGTCAGGCTGGGCTACTGTTATGGATTAAGAACTGGTGGTCAATTTAACGCCACCTGGATTACATCAGCATGGCACTAAGCAAAGATGCTCCACCTGAGGAAAGTTGCCAGCATAAATACATGGAGAAGGAGAAAGAGTTAAGGCGTTCATGCGTTATTGCATTGCATTGAGGCATTGTGGGTTCTCCTATGAGTTGCTGTTTAAGCAGTTAGATTCTCTTGGAGCTTTGGTCTTCACATCGAGCATTGCTTCCTGGCTCCAGAGGGGAAGAAAAGTGCCACTTGGTCTCCAGGATGAGCTCGTCACACTGGCTTCCTGGCATGTACTCGGCTGTGGCTATCATCGGAGGAGCTTGGGGCCTCTGTCGCTGAGGATGGCTGTGGTGCCTTTCAGGACAGCCCTGGTCTTTGTTGTGAGTGTGACTTCGCAGCTCCAGCATAAATCCCACCAGCACAGCTCCTTCACCTCACTGGCATAGACTTTCTGGCTTCCACCACTGACCTTTGGGCCTTCCAGGCACGGATCCGTAAAAGAGACTGGCGTGAGTCCTTCTTGTGGGCTCTGGACCTCCAGTTGGACTCGTGGAAGGCATTGTCATGAGCTCTGGGTTTTCATATGGACTCATGTGGGACATTGCTGTGGAATTTAGGCCCTTGACTAAATATTCTATGTCTTTGGTGTTGTGGATAGATTTCCTGCATTTACTTGTGTTAACTCCTGGTGACCATTATAAAATAATATTATAAACTCCATGTCCTCATTCTAATTGTTCTCTGCACAACTCCTGACTACAACAGCTACATAGTGAGTTCAAGGCCATCCTGAACTGCATAAGGAGATTGTCTCAATATGCTCCCAACCCACATATTCACTACTTTCCCCCTTCACTGCCCCACATCTTAACTAGCCTTCCCTTGTTTCTTTTTCTAAAGATCCAGCAAAGGCTTCTAAATGGTCACAAATCACCTGGCTTGAAGAGGACTCATAATTGGAAAAGTTCAGATCTCAGAACTGAGTCAGCTTCTAAAAATTCTTCCAGTGTACCCTGCTGTTAAAGAGGGAAATTAAAAAAAAAAAAAACAGTTTCCTCAGCTGCACAAGTGAGACACTGTGTGAGCATCTCAGGCATCTCATTCAAATCCTGCCCACATTTACATCTTGCCAATTTACATCTCTTCCATAATCCATGTACGGTGGCTCAACTGTGGGCGAAGGTTAACATTTTATTAAATATGTGAGGCAGTTTTCTGCAGAACATAGTCTTTGTGGTTAGGTGGACACAGGTTTAAATTCTAATCCTGCCATTTGTTAGCTACCATATATGTCTTCTGGTGAGTTACATAACCTAAGCCTTAGTTTCCTTGTTTGTAAAATAAGAATTTCAGTCTGTCTCATAAAATCCATAAAGATTAAGCAAGATACATAACTAGGGCTTGTTACATGTAGTAAGCACTCAGAAAATGTTATTTCCCTTTCCCTCTTGCTCAGCCAAACAAGTTTAACTAGCACTCTAAGCAATTAAATATATAACAGCCTTTTATATTAAATATTAAAATATTGATATAACAGCTGGTATTGAACATTTGAATTTACCAGGTAACTCAAT